TTTTTTATACTGATTTTAACCCTTAATTTTAATGAAATTACAAAATTACCTATTCTTCTCATCAAATTTCCCTTGTTATTTGAACCGGTTGATTCATCAGTTAAACCGATTGAACCGATTAAATCAAAAACCAAACCTAAAAATGGTTCAATAACCAATCCGATTTTAAAAACTTTGGTTCGAACGTTTTATTTGAGTTTTAACAGTTTAAAAGAAAGAAAGGATGAGAAGAGAGAAATTTTATCCCTTTATTTTTTTCTTTTTTTTTTATTTGAAATTAAAAAAAATAAAATTAAGAAAATTTTTTTCTTTTTTTTCTCCCTTTTAACTTTAAAAAAATTAAATAAAAAAATTTATCTTTTTTTGATTTTTTTATTTCTTTTAATCCAAACATATTAAAAAAAAATAAAAAAAGAAGTACAATAAATAGTATACTTCCCATTCCTTTTTCTCGGTTATAGTTTTAATATCTTTTTCATATTATAAAAACTTATATATAGATGAGGAGAGAATATATGTTACATAAATTTAATCGCTGAATTTAATTAATAGAAATTAATCAAAATATTGAATAAAACTTACTAATTCATGAATACGTGGTTTCCTGAACATATTGATTCTATGAATGTAGTGGTTTCGTGATTTAATGAAACTCTAAATAAAGTTAAGTGAATATAAAATATGAGGGATATTAAGTGAAATGTATAAAACAAAACATTCATTTATTTGTTTAACTTATAATAAAATATATTATTTAGTGTATTTTTATAATTTAATATTACAATAAGAAAAATATGAAATTATTATTTGTGATTTTTATTTTTTAATAAATAAATTTTTTTCTTTTTGTATTTTTTCTCAAAATAATAAATATTAAGTTAAAATTCTATTTTGGTCCTTCAAACAAAAAGTCTTTTTTTTAGTCTTTTTCCTTAAAAAAAAAAAAACCCAATTTTACTTCTTAAAATTTAAAATCCAACATTTTTTTAGTTTTTCCGTTACTTTTTTGCATATATAGTGCCTTAGATGATGGTAATTTTAAACTGTAGTTACTAAAAAGAGATAAAAGCCCCTCTTTGGTCTTTTTACTTTAAAAAAATCTCTTTCAATCCCTTTACTTAAAAAAAGAAAACCATTTTTAGTCCCTTTGTGTTAAAATTTCCATAATCTACCATATTATTTATGCAAAAAGATAACAAAGGGACTAAAAAATAATCAAATTTTAAATTTTAGGGACAAAAAAAGGGGTTCTTTAAGCAAAAAGATTAAAGAGGGGCTGAATTTTAAATTTTAAGGATCAAAAGGCTACATTTTTAAGTATGAATTTTAAAATTTAAGGACCAAAGGGCTACATTTTTAAGTAAAGAGACTAAAAAGAAATTTTTTGTTAAAATAGAGGGACTAAAAAGGGTGTTAACCAAAATGTTACTTTATTTTATATTAATAATTTAAGAATAATTTTTATTTTTATCAATATTACTTTTACAAAAAGAAATAGAGATAGTGAGACTTATTAAATTACTAGTATTTAAAAGTTTCTAATTTTTAATAATTTTATTTATAAGAAATACTTAGTTCTATCCATTAGTCTTATAAATGCTTCCTAACATTTTATTATTTTGAAAGGTCTATATAACAAGTTATAACCTTAATATAATTAATTTTTGATTCATTAGAAATATCCTTAATGAAATAAAAAGTACTCATAACCTTATCCTTAAGAAAGAGAGAAATCCAACCATCTCCTATTTTCGAAGCTTCATCAAATATAAAATAATAATAATAATAATAATTCAATCATCCACTAGACAAGAGTGGCTATTTGCAATATAGTTTCATCCATTGGGATATATATTTTTTAATTGTATAATAAAAGATAATTTTTTTATCTTTTATTCTATTATACTTATATATATTATATAATTTAAATTTAAAATTTTTTATTTTTAATAAAAAAATTATTATTAAATTATTTATATAATTAATTACCGTTAAGATTTTTATTTCCACACAATCAGATTGATTCTTCTATTTCTTGAATTGATCCAACTCCAAATTGTATAAAGCATAGAGATTAAGCCATCCTTCCCTTTTGCCTTAATCCAATACACTACTAAAATCCCTATCTCCAGCAACATGGAAGCATGTTGTTGAAAGTACTTCCAATGTTGCTGAAAGTCCTTCAACAATGTAACTTTAGTTGCTAAAAGCTTTGTTGGAGAAGGCTTGGTGGGTAATACATTATCAACCAACACTTTGTCGCTGGTACATTAGCAACATAAGATACGTTGCTGAAATTATAGTTTCAATAATGTACGTTATGTTGCTAAAAACATTCATTGGAATCCGATGAGGGTAGGGGGTGAATTTTCTCACACTCTTCAACAACATAAGCCACATTGCTGAAAGTATGGTTTCAGCAATGTGGCTCATGTTGCTAAAAATTAGTGATAAACTGTTAAACATTAGTGGTAACCTGGTGATCGAAACTTGGCCCCAGTTTCAGTAACATAAGACCAGTTGCTGAAACTAAATTTTTAGCAACATAGCTTGTGTTGCTAAAAGTTAAGAGGGGAGTATGGTCTCTCATTTTTTAGCAACATATGTTTTGATGCTGATTATAGGTGTACTATTAGCAACATAGTCCTTGTTGTTGATAGTGAGTTAAATAATAAACCACCATATTTTCAGCAACATAGCTATTGTTGTTGATGTTATTCAAATAGTACTACTGACATTTTCAACAACATATCACTTGTTGATGATGTAAACTGGTTTCAGCAATATGGCTCATGTTGCTAAAAATTAGTGATAAACTGTTAAACATTAGTGGTAAACTGGTGACATAAGCCATGTTGTTGAAACAATATTTTTAACAACGTGGCTTGTGTTGTGGCTTGTGTTGCTAAAAGTTAATAGGGGAGTGTGGTCTCTAATTTTTCAGCAACATATGTTTTGATGCTAATTCTAGGTGTACTATTAGAAACATAGTCCTTATTGCTAATAGTGAGTTGAATAATAAACCACCATATTTTCAGCAACATAACTCTTGTTGTTGATGTTTATTCGAATAGTACCATTGACATTTTCAGCAACATATCACTTGTTAATAATGTATCAGAATGTTTGATAAAAAAAATTATATCTACTAATATTCTAATTACATATTCTTTATTTTCACTTA